TAAGTGAATTTTGAGAAGAATGAGTAAAGGAAGAGCTGACACCCACAGCACGCACATCCACACCTCCTGTCTCTGGTGCCACCACTCAAGGGGCCAGAGCTGCTCACAAAGAACAGTAATGAGGATTTTTAATTATGTCAACTGCGTATGTTGCCTTTTCTCAATCTAGGACACAGAAAACCAACTTCAGGCAGGAGCTCCCAGGCAAATCCATCCCAAGAGATTGGCACCATGACAATAGGAACCTGGGGAGCGGAGGCACGCTGGAGATGTGGGTTATTGGTGGCACCTCCCAGTCCACTTCACCAGGGCTGGGTGGGTGTCAGGGTTTCTGAGCACATCCCCAGGTGTTAGAGTCAGTGCCCTGAGGCCTCATAGTAGAATGGGGGTGGCCAGGATAGGGTGTCCTTTGGGGGAAGGAGAAAGAGCAGCTTCTGCACATTTCATTTTCCTGTTCTCTATTCTTTTGTGCAGAGCACGTGTTTAAGGTCTGTCTCCATTCATCACAAACTCACTTCTTCACTAACTGCTCCTCCCAGCCCCAGCACGAGCACACAACTCACACTAAGGCATCAAGCCACGTGGCTCAAAGGGATTGTGGTCTGCAGGCACTGCGAGTACCTCAGCTGCTGCAGACCCATGCCCCCAGGACATGCAGGGCCACAGCTGTGAAATCATGGCTCAGCAGTTCCCTGCGTGACCCAAGCATCACCAGGAGCAATGACTGAGGTCAGGCTCCCTGGGTTTGGGGAAAAACTTGTGACAGGATGGAGGAGCAGCATCTGCTCAGGATGCGGCAAGGTGACCCTGGGGACCTGCAGATAAACTGGAGCAGACAGGAAACTGGAGGGATGCCCTGAGACACCCTTGCTCAGTCCATCCCAGATGCTGGAGGCATGGTTTTGGAGGGCTTTGCAGAAAAACAGTTGTACTGTTATTTCCTAATCTCTTATTTCTTCAGAAGTTTGGGGTAACTGGACCCAGTATCCTTATTTTCTAATAAAGGACAGGTAAATTATGAGAGCCCTAACTGGTTTGCATGCCATGTGTTGGGTGAAATGAAGCACGTGCATTCCATGCTGGCCCTGCACCTTGCCAGGAGCTACCAGTGCTGCTTCCCCAAACCTCTTAGGTGAAGAACCCAATGTGATGATCATCCCGTTTTCAACAGTCGCCCAAATGCACAGAGTGCTGAGCAGCAGAGCCTGAGGCCGCTGTCGGTGCAGACTCATGCTGTGACATACCCAGCTTCCAGCTAACTCCATTACCTGGGGGCAGGTGATGTGCAGTCAGCTGCTGGCTCGTGCAGCCGTCGGGCCATGCAGGTCAGCTCCCTGCAGCGTGACTCTCCTCAGCAACTACCCAGGAGCCAAAACCAGGCCAATCCTGTTGTCGGGGTGCGTGTGCCTGCATCCTACCATAGGATGCTGTGGGGAAGTCGCTCTGGTTTCCTTTCCCTTCCTCGGTGTGGCAGACGCTGCTGTTCCTGGGGACCGAAGGCTCTCCTTGGTACCCCTGTAACACAGCCAGAAGGCAGAGTGATGCAGACCCCAGCCCAGGGTGGCAGCTTGGCCACAGGCTTGTAGGCACAGCAGGGCTGGGTGACCACAGCTTCCTGCACTGCACCCTGTACTGGTGAGATTAAAGTCATTTCCCTCTGCCACAGAGGCACAGCTGCCAACCATTGCCTGAGACCACCACCGATAGGGCCCAGGGCCGGGCCCAGCAATCTCTGCTGACCACTGCAGGCAGCGCAAAGCTCACTCCTCCGCCTTATTGTGTGTGCAGCAGCTTCCCCCCAGCAGTAAATCTCTGTGGCTAAAAACCACTCTGGGAGAGGGCTCTTATTGCAGTGAAAGAGCAGGGCAGGGCGCAGCAGAGACCAAGGCATTTCCCGTCCTGATGGGCGGAGAGGGTCATCCCATTAAGTCAGCCATTTAGGGGACATGGCAGTGCAAACAGGACAATTTACCCTGGGATAAGTTTAACCCTGGCAAGATTTTTGGTGGTGCATTTATTTATATCCACTCCTGTACAGCAGCAGGATTAAAAGCTCATTTCTGCGCTCCAGCTGCAGCCAGGATGAGACACGTTGTGATCACTCCATGCAGAACAAGTACCAACAAAAGCAGTGAAATGAGAACCCAGCAGCAGCGTAAGCTGATGTCTTCAAGCAGGGACCTGGCTGGAGGTCAAGCTTGAGCTACGCCGTAACTTCTGGGAGTCTCCTGACCATGCCCCCACCGAGCAGTGCCAAGCACCTCCAGCTCTGTGGGGCATTAGTGGAAACTGCGGTAGCTGCCTGGAAAAGCCCTTCACAGACCTCCCAGATGAGTGGATTTTCTGTTTAGAAGTGTTTCAAGCTCCACGGGTTTCTGCTTCCCTCCTGGCAAAGAGGGGCAGGAGCTCTGCTGGGTCTGCAAGATGATTTACACCCTTCTGCAAGATCCTTCAATTACAGAGGACTAAGTGTTATTTAATTTGTGACTGCGGCTTGAATAAGACTCAATTAAATTCTGCCTCTTGTGAATTTGCGATGGGGAATTCTCACCTGTGATGCCAGATGAGTCCTAACAGTACCATGCCTGACTCAGACACGCAAACTGCTCTATTCATGAGTGTTTTAATAAATGCCCTATCTTTAAACTGACAGCTTCCTGCTGTGTGACAAGCTTGGCACGGCGTCAAACCAAACCTTGGTCCCGTGGTCAGCCCGTGCTGGGGATGAGGGTGAATTCTGCAGAGCATCTTGGAGGCTGCAGCGCTGCCGCTGACACGGACACAAGCACCGGTACAAGGCACTGACACAGGCAAAGGCACTGACACCGGCACCAGCCAGGGCTCCCTCCCTCCGCTCCCGGCTCCGGAGCCCGGCTGCCCCCAGGGCTCCCCGGCTGCGGCCCGGCCCTTCCCGCGGGGTTCATCCGGGGGCGCCCTTGTCCCGATGCGGCCCCGCGGTGAATCCGCTCCCTGCCCTTCCCCCGGGACCCGCTCCGGTCCTCACCCCCCCTCCAGCCCCTCCACGGGACCCCGCGCTCCGGTAGGCGGTGCCCTCCTTCCCCGCCGACCCCGCCCTCCCGTCGCCGCCTCCCATTGGCCCCGTGGCCGGCGGCGGGCGGGCCGCTTTGTGACGTCACGATCAGCTGTCGGAAGGTCCCGATTTGTGCGGGGGAGCGGCGGGCGCTCGGCAGAACCGCGCCATCGGCACCGGCACCGGCACCAGCTCCGCGCCTCCCGCCGCTCCCCTCCCCTCCCCGCCGCGGTGCCGCCACGGCCACGGTGAGTCCGCAGCGACCGAGGCTCGGGGGGGGGGGAGCGGCGGCGGGCGGGGCTCGGGCTGAACGGGACCGCTCCGACACGGCGCGTCCCGCGGGGGGAGAAAGGCATCGGGGTCGTTGTCCCGTTCTCCCCCGCATCCCCCCCCCCCCCCCCGCGCCCGTTGTTTGTTTCTTCATCACCGGATTAAGATTCGAGGTTGGGCTCCGCTCCCATTGGCTCCGCTAGGGTGACGTATGCCTCATTTGCATATGACATTGAGACGTCATAAGGCTGCCCCCCCCCGCCTCTCCCCCGCTTTCCGGGCGCTCTTGTCCCGCCGTGACCCCGGTTTGGGACGGGCGTGGGGGTTAGCGGCGACGTGGCTTTTCCCCACCACCTTCCTCGGGGTTTGTGTCCCTTCCCCTGCCGGTGTCCGTTCTACCCCCTGCCGGTGTCCGTTCTACCGCCTCCCCTCCCGGTGTCCGTTCTACCGCCTCCCCTCCCGGTGTCCGTTCTACCCCCTCCCATCCCGGTGTCCGTTCTACCCCCTCCCATCCCGGTGTCCGTTCTACCGCCTCCCCTCCCGGTGTCCGTTCTACCCCCTCCCATCCCTGTGTCACGTCCCCGCGCCGTGTCCCGCAGCTGCTCGGCCGGTATCGCCCCGTGAGTCTCGGCTGGAGCTTTCCCCGGGGAGCTGCGAATGTGTGCACTCTCCCCGTGCCTATTCGGGGCTGTTCCGGCAAAAAACGGGGCTTCTGGAACAGGGAATGTGTGATACCGAATGTAGGAATCCCTGCAGTTGTGTCGTCCATTTACCTCCATCTTCCCATCCCAATTCCCCCTGTGAATCCCATGCCACACGTGCTGGTGCGGCACTGTGCCCTGGGGTGCCGAGTACATCAGGTCCCACCCGGAGCAGCTGCTGTTGCTCCTATTCTAAGTGCACCTGCTTTGGGACAGCTCAAAAACTCTGGGAATCCTAAAAGCTCAACTTCCTGCTGGATTTCGTGCCTCTCGCCTTAGGAACTCAGTGGCTTGGCTGAGCCTCAAGGGCCCTGGGCGCTAAACCTGCTCTGGGCTGGTCAGCTCAGAAACTTGGGATCTGTGGAGTGTAACTGGAGAAACAGGCTAAAAAGGGCACTATTGGTTTTGTAATGTTTTTATACCTTTATCTTTATGTCATGAGTGTTCAGGGGAGCTACAGCCCTGCCCAGAGAGCCTGAGCAAAGGTGCTGGCACCCAAAATCCTGGCTTAAATTCCCAGTCTTGGGACCAGCAATGCTGACAGTGGCACCCATGAGGGCTGGGTGCCAAGGGGCTGTTACTGATTTGGCCAAGGCTTTGCTGGGATAGAAAACCATCCCACAAACAGGTGCTGGGCCCCAGTACAGGACCATGCTGTACCTTCTTTCCCACCGGGCTCAGTCTGCAAAGTGCCAAGGACAATTCCTCTTGCTCTAAAATAAATCTTTCCTTTTATATTCCCACTCCCTTCTCCAAAGAAAATATCCAAACCAAAAGACAAAGGCTTTGTTCTGTAGCTCGCTGTCACCATTAGGAACCCGTTGTATCAAATCCGTGCTTATCTGGCTGAACACAAAAGGGAAAACATAATGGAATATATGAGGACAAACTGATAACACCTGCTCGTAGCAGGACTGGAAAAACCTGAGATGTGAATTCTTATCCAAGAGCTTTTTAGCATGAGCTGCGCCATGAGCCCTGCACAGGCAAGTCTCACCCCAGTGTACACGTGGCCCTGGGCAGGCTCAGGAGGAACTGGTGAGGAGCTCGGGGTTCCTGCAGGATCAAAGTCCAACTTGGCAGTTGGCATTCAGCCTTCTGTGACCTATGGAGGGTGTGATGTTGGGGCTGCTCCCCTCTCGATGCACATGGCCCTAGGGATGTTTCACCTGCAGCATCCCAGAGAGGAGACTCCTAAAATCTCATAGGGCAGCTCATAAAAATGTCCTGGTTGCTCAGATCCTGCAGCCACTGCCGGATTTTCCAGGGTTCTGTGTGACGACGTCAAGTAGCAGGAGGTTGGGTTTGTCCTTGGGGCAAGGACCTTCCTGCAGTGGTTACACAGGGGAGCTGGTGCATGTGGGGACAGCAGCACCAGGAAAAGACCCCCTATGTCCTCCTCCTTAAGGTGGGAGCACATGGGGACTCCAGTCCACACTGAGCTGCTGGACTCAGCCAAGGTAAGCGCTTCAGGTGCTGGCTTTATCTGCTATTGATGAGAAGAGCCTCGTGATAAAGATGTGTTTTTTGGAGGGGGTTCTAACCACTCTCTGCCTTCTCCCCCCTCCACTTCCCTGCTCTGTGGTGCAAGGGGCTCTGGCTGTGGATCAACCTCTGATTTGCTGGACTCAGTCTGTTCATGCCAGCAGCAGCTTCCCCAGGGAGCCCTGTGAATGAGGTGAAGCAATGGGATCAGCAGGAGCTATAGTGCAGTTGTTGAGTAACCAGATGCATTAATCCAGCCTCGCTGAACTGTCCTGGGCAGGTCTCTGCCACTTCTGGTCCCCTCCTTGATGGAGATGGACAGAGGACAGCACAGGGATGCTCCACTGGTTGTGTCTGGGTGATGAGCAGGCTGTGGAGCTGCCAGACCCCCTGTTCCTTTGCTCTGTGCCAGGTTTAGGATTCCGTGAGAGCAGCCTGTGAAACATTTGTCTAATTTAGGTAAAATGAGTTGAAAATGACATTTCCCAAGTGGGCTGGAGGAAGGCACCTGATTTCTACCTCCAACGCCTACCGGGATGACTGTGTTGCGGTATTCTTAGCCCTGCCGAGGAAGGACCCGCTCCTGCCACTTGTCAGCAGCATCCCTCCTGCCACCACGTATTTATGGAAAGTTTCAGGGAGCCTGTTGCCATTTCCAAGCGGAGCTGCTGTTGTCCTTGCAGCCGGTGACTTTTGGGAGCTGCCAGTCCTGCAAGGCTGTGGCTCCTGCCCCGGCAAGCTCCTGGCACATCCTGCCCAGCCTTTCACCTATTCTTAGCTCCTGGGGTTATTTGTAGTGATGGTGACTCAGAAAACTAATTATTGTGTCAAGGTTTCTGAAGGGGGGAGAAAATAACTCGATGCATTCTGGTCTCCTTACTCCTAATATTTAATACCCTGGAGCTGCATTTAAAAGGCTGTTGGGCTTTCTGGAGGGATCCCGAGAAACTTAAGTAAGAAACTGCTCTGTCCTCAAGGCAAGTGTTACCTCTTGGGGTGTCCCCTTGTGCTGGCAGTAGCCTGAGAGGGGGCCACTTCTCCAGCTTAACAAGGTCCCTCCGGTTGGCACCTGCCTGCTGCACCCCTCCTCTTGGTGTCCTTCACAAGCTTGCTGAGGGTGCACCTTGGCAATAAAGAGCCTGATCCTGCCCCTTTAACCCAGCGCTGCCGAGGATTCCAGAGCAGACAGGATAAAGGTGAGGACTAAAGCTCATTTTGGTCCTTGCTTGCCAGGACCAGGCTCCTGCCTCCACCTGCAGGTTTGATCCTGAAGGCTTTGCCCAAGCTCTGCCGGAGCCAGCCCTGGCAGAGCTGCTCCAGCTCCTGGGAATCCTTTGCTCTCCCCACAAGGCTGTCTGCTGGCGCTGGCTGTCCCTCTGCCTGGCTCCTGCTCTGCCCAGGACAGAGCCAAGCAAGGCACAGTGTGGCCAAGCAGCCCTGGCAGCTATTCCATGAGGATCAGGGTTCAAGCACCCTGGGTTTGCCAGCCCTGGCCACGCTGCCACCAAGCCATGGTTGCTCTCACAGCAAACTGGCCCCCCCAAGGTCCTGTGTAGGATCACAGTGTCCATTAGGCAGTGGGAGCTTATGGGGTGAGGCAGGCTTGCTTCATCCAAGGGGATGATCCTGCAAGATCTGCCCTGTCCACCTAGCCTGGTGGAGCATGGACCCCAGTGCCCACATTCCCTGGCACGGAGAGGGGAATCGCTGGTGGCTTATTTAAACTCTTTGGGGAATGATCCTTTAAAAGGATCCATCTCAACCTTGGCTCCTGGGGGAGCTTTAAGCTCATTCCTGCTGTCCCTGGAGCGATGACAACTTCCTGGGAGCCCCCTTCCCTTCACCTCCTGGCATGCTGTGGGTTTGCTCTGCAGCAGGATGGCCCCTGACAGCCCATTACTGTGAGGGGAGTGTGGTTATCCTAGACCTTTTAATTACAGAAATAAGGAGAATGAAGTTAAATATGGGAGATGGGACAATTGAAGCTAACAGCATCTGCTGTGTCGTGTGTCTTCAGGAAAGCTGTCTGCAGGTTAGGGTGGGCACCTGTGGGGCCCAGACACTTCAGCTCCAGACATTCCTATTGCTGCACCCTGTGATTGCTGGGGGGGACACTAAGTCTCTAAGTAGATAGGTCCTGGGGGAATTGGTGCTGAGCCTGAGGGGAGCAGAAGGGGAGGACAGATACCAGCTTTGCTCCTGTGCACTGAAAGCCTTTGTCACGTTTTAACGAAGTAAAGACGAGAGGGTTTGTGCTCTCCATTCTGTGTGATCTCTCTCCTGGCTTTGAACTCGCTCGAGGATGAGCTCCTTGCTGGGGGCTGGCCAAGCGGAGCGGAGGGGAGCGCTCGGGTACCATCCGGGCAGGGCGCTTCAGCAGGGCTGAGCCAGCAGAACGGCAGCGAGCTCGTCCAGGGGGAAAAACCCAATCTAGTTCAGACCTCAGCCTGGGGTGGCTGCTTGGGTGCTCCCCTGGGTGACCCTCCCCTGGCAGCCAGGCTGGAGCCACAGCCTCCCTCTGTCCCCTGTGTGCCAGCTGTCCCCTGATGATGCCGTGCTGTCCCCAGCCCTCTTCACCCTGGTGTGTCACCCTGCGGAGCTGCACGGTGACACTGAGCCTTGGAATGCTGCAGGCAGAGCTGCTCCGGCTTGGAAAACACACGAACCTGCTCCTGGCTTTGCACTGGGGCAGGACCACGGTGGCCCTGGGGGACGGGAGCTCCCCTGTGCCTGCTATGGGCTGCTGGGTGCTTCCTGCCCGGGGACACCACCAGCAGGTACCTGGAGCAATGGGGTTTCTGCCACAATTAGATACTTAATAAATGCATTAATATAATATTACAAGACAGCTACTTAATAGGCAACTGCTGCAGGCAGAGAGAACTGGGGTGTAATGCAGCCTTCAGGGCTGCCCTGGGTGCGCTTTGCCAGCCTGGCCCTGGGGAGGATGGATGCACGCATGGATCCCATGGGAGGGAAATCCCTGCTGTGCTCAGCACAGAGTACACCAGAGAGCCCAATGGGCCAGTTTTCGTTTGTTGCCCAGCTGGATGTCAGCCCCTCTTCATGTTGTTTCCCTGTCTTGTATTAGTGTGCTTTAATGCTCCAGGAAAGGGGAGGTCTGGATAGTTTAATCCTCGGGTGTGCTGGAGGATAACAGAATGGCCATGGCTTTGCTACAGACGTGGTGGTGATGGGGACCGGGAGGTGAGAGCTGCCTTAGCTGAGCCTGCTGCTCTCGTTGCAGGCAGAGGAAATGACTCTGTCACATCTCAGTGCCCCAGAACCCTCTGCTTGGTGCTTCCAGGGGAAGCCAGGAACCTTCACAGGACACAGAGCAGGGAACCCTCATTGTGGTGAGGGCTCTGTGAGTCTCAGCCAAGTCTGTTTTGAATGCAGCATCCCAGCAGGACCCAGCTTGGATCTGGGTGCAGGGTGTGAGGAGTGGAAGGATGAACCATGGCAGTGGGGGGGCTGCTGTCCTGCAGGGAGTGGGGACCCTGGATCACTGAGCACTGGGATCTGGAGCCATGGCTGTAGCCATGTTGTCTGCCCTGCACCTCCCTGAACCCTTCCTATTCCGTGTTGCCAAGAGCAGCTGGAGCTTCACCAGGGTCCAGAGCCTCTTGCAGGCTCTACATCACCTTGGTTGACAGAGCTATGACAGGGGTTTTGCCCTCTGAATGCACTCAAGGCAGTGTGCCAGGCAAGGCAGCACACAGCTCTGCCCTCCCCCTGCATCTGGCTCTTGATGGCATTTCAATGCCCTTTAATGTCTCTGGACCAAAAAGCATTTTCTCTGCACAAATAACGCGCTGCGCCGTGTGCCTGCTGCCTGCCTGTGCCACACTGAGAGCCCTACAGTGACTCCAACCCTCCCCCTGAGCTGGGCAGGGATGTGTTTCCCCAGGGATAAACAGTGATGTGTTTGGCTCTGCCCCTGCCCAGCTCCAGCAGACAGGTCCCCTGGGACACACTGCTCATGGGGAAGGGGATGGAATGCAGGGCTCAGTGTGGGGCGCAGGCACCCAGCCCTTCAGCCATCCCCTGCAGCCCATCTGGGATGCAGGACAGCCGTGCTGCCAACCGCTCCACGTGCATTATTCCTTTCCCTTTCCCTTTTACAGGCCTTTGCACTGAAGCCAAGTGAAGAACCTCAGAACTGCACTGCACACCATTTAACTCAGCTCCGAGCTCCCTAGCAGCAGAGTATCTCCATCACCACTGAGACCTCGAGTGCTGGTTTTACCCCTCGCTGCCCCCCGCTCCCATTTCCACGTCTGAAAGGCAGTGCTCAGCAGGACCCTAACTCGCCATCCATCCTACGGGACCGCTCCCCACCATGTTTCAGCGTCTCACCAGCCTCTTCTTCAGTGACAGCAGCACTCCGGAGGGCCTTGAGGAGCCCAAACCCTTTGTTGAGGAGGAGGAGGAGGAGGATGGCTGGCTCATAATTGACCTTGCAGGTGAGGAAAGCAGCGGGGACTGACTTCCCACAGCCTCTGCTGCACCGTGGCTCTCTGGAGCTGGGAAGCAGCTGGAGATGACAGCAGAGGAGCTTCCACCACGTGTGCTCGGCTCTGTTCATCCCTCTTCCCGTGGTCACCCAGCCCTGTGGTTGCTGTAGCAGCTCCTGGCCTGTTGCTGTGGGCAGCACTTTGCCATGAGGAGCTGGGCTTGGCCTCTCCTCGCAACGCCCATGTCAAAACCAAACTGGGAGCTTGTTCCCAGAGGAAAACCCTGGTCCCGGGGTGCTGGTGGGGACCATGGCGCTCCAGCTGGGGATGTGCTGCAGCAATCTGGCCACGTTTGGGTTATTTGAGTGCACTGGGGGAGCAAATCTCAGCTCCAGAGGGCTTATCTTCCCAAATCATTCCCAGTGCCCATTCCGGCAGCACTCAGACAAGGGATGTTTGGCACAAAGTCTCAGGGGCTCCCTGTTCCCAGGGATGGCAGCAACCACCCTGAGTCCCCTTTGACACCAACCAAGCAGATCAAATTCCTTGTGTGCAGAGCTTCTCCAGCTCTATTAAGACCTTGGCATTTCTATTGTAGGCTTGATGACTCAACCGAGTGCAGTGATGATTTTATGACCTTTTGCTTGCAAATCGAGCAGCAAACTTAGACAAACAAGCCTGCCTGTGCAGGAGATCCTCAATGCTTTTACAGCCTCTGGTTGGTTGTGGTGCCCCAGCCAAGGGGACCACAAATGCATCCTGCAGGTTTAGGAGAAGGGTTTTGTCCTCCCTCTTGCAGGCGTTTGTTCACCCATCAGATGCTCCTGTCCCCTGTTCACCGAGCAGAGCTGGTTTTCATGATACAAGTCATTTGTTAGGGTTTTCCCCATGCAGTGAGATGGAGAGGGGACCGGAGCATGGGCAAGCTTGGGATGGGGGACAGGGACAGCCCCGTGCCTGCTGGGAGCACTGTGGATGGCTGGTGGAGGTGGATGGGTGGTGTGGGCACAGGCAGCCACCGAGGATTCCCTGTCCTCTGGGCTGCCCTGGGGGGGGTCACAGCAGTGACACAGGAGGAGGAGGGTTGGAAGGAGGTCCCTGGAACCACTCGCATGCAGCTGCCTCCTGCCTGGGCCAGCTGGCAACGGCTGCAGCGTGCCCAAAGCGCGCCAGAAGGAGCCAGGAGTTTCCCCAGACAGAGAAAGCGGGGCTGTGCCCTGATCCCCTGGGTCCCAGACTGCAGCCAGCCCAGCAGGGACACAGGGATGGCTCTGGGACAAAAGGCTCCCGTTTCTTTCCCACCCAAGCCGCCACGCTCTCGGTGCAGAGCTGCCTTGCAGCAGTGTGACTGCCTGGGGCATGCCACCCCACTGCTAATCCCCACCAGCCCTGCCGCTGCCTTTTCCCCTCAGCATTCCCTGGCTGGTGAAGGAATGATTTATTTCAGCCCCGTTTCTGAGGCTGGAGTTACGCAAAGCACTTTACAAACCAAACCCGCTGGCTCCATCCTTCACCTTTGAGCCACAGCAGCTGACAAGCATCTCAGTCTGGCTCTCTCCCAGCCTGATGGGCCTCCAACCTCATTCCCACTCAGCCAGGTCTTTGACCCGTGTGTTGCAAAATGCACCTGAATTAACCAGAGATCCCAGGAGTATTTTGGATGCTCCTCTTGTCCCATCACCCAGCCTGGTTCTACTCAGCAGCCAGGGACAGAGCAAAGACCATTGCCCGGTGCTTAGAAGTGAGGCTGCAAGTAACCCAGGGATTTTGGGATCCCAAAATATTCCTTGTGACATTGAAACCTGCCTTGGTAAAGGATGGGGATGGGTTGCCAGGGATGGTGGGGCAGGGTTCAGCTGAGCTGGGTTCCCCGCTCCTCTGTTGCAGGACCAGGAATGCTCCAGCTGGGCTCGGTGGCTGTCTCCAGGCTGACAAATAATCTCCAGCCCGACATGCCAACAACTATTAATAGCTTGATATCCACTGACCTGAGGAAAGATGCTCTCGTGTTCGCAAGGCTAATTGTGGCCTGCCCTAAGCCCCGGGCTGGAGCATCGTCTGCCGGAGGAGCCGGGGACATGTGGGTGGGGAATGCCAGCCCCGTGCTTCGTGCACTCTATTTCTCCACCATAAGAACACATTCATTGCCCAGAGAAGCTGTGGCTGCCCCATCCCTGTCAGGTTGGACGGGGCTCGGAGCAAACTGCTCTAGTGGAAGGTGTCCATGCCCATGGCAGGGGTTGGAACTGGATGAGCTTTAAGGTTCTTTCCAAACCAAACCATTCTGTGATCCCGTGATTGACCTCTGATTTGTCATAGAATCCTAGAATAGTTCGGGTTGGAAAGGACCTTACCATCCTCCAGTTCCAACCCCCCTGCCATGGGCAGGGAAACCTCCCACTAAACCCTGCCACCAAGGCTCTGTCCAACCTGGCCTTGAACACCCCCAGGGATGGAGCATTCACAGCATCCCTGGGCAACCCATTCCAGTGCCTCACCACCCTCACAGGAAAGAATTTCCTCCTTATATCCAATCTAAACTTCCCCTGTTTTAGTTTGAACCCGTTACCCCTTGTCCTGTCACTACAGTCCCTAATGAAGAGTCCCTCTCCAGCATCCCTATAGCCCCCCTTCAGATACTGGAAGGCTGCTCTGAGGTCTCCACGCAGCTTCTCTTCTCCAGGCTGAACAGCCCCAACTTTCTCAGCCTGTCTTCATACGGGAGGTGCTCCAGTCCCTGATCATCCTCGTGGCCTCCTCTGGACTTGTCCCAACAGTTCCATGTCCTGCACCCTCACCTAACTGCGGGGTCATGTGTCCATAGATATGCTACACTGTGTCCCCCTGCTCCCTGAGACCATGTTCCTTGACATCCCCTGTTGAGGCTGGGAACAGCTCTGGATACCCTCATGAGCCCAACGTTAGGTGCAGGCTCCCCAACCAGTGACTCCAAGCACAGGCAGCCCAGAAAGGCACCAGCCCAAGTGCCTTTGCCAGGCGGAGGTGAGGAAGGGAAGGTAAAGGGAAGCTGGGGCAGCTCTTGGATCAACCACTCCAACTTTGGCCTCTAATGGACTGAAGCTGAAGGTGTGGTGGGAACCTTTGCTGAAGAATGTATTCCCGTTTCCTTCCAGAAGAAAAGCTGTGAGCTGTTTTTTCCTCTGTGTGTGCTTGGTTTCCATGTCTGCAAAGTGCTGGGAGGTGTTTGTGAGTGCAGGCAGGCTGCCGTTCCTCCTGGGTGGCACAGCCTGGTCCCAGGGCCGTAAGAACGGGCTAAAGCAGTGTTTCTGCTGGCTGAATTTCTCCTTCACTTTGAGAAGGGGTAAAATGAAATCGCTGCAGTGAAACCCTGCTGCTTTCCCCCTGGTTTTGGTTAAACTGCCTAAACAGGACCGTTTCACCAAGAAATCTGGAGGGGGACTTTTCCCAAGGACCAGGGATGAAGACTTCAAGGTGAAAGAGGGGAGGTTTAGGTTGGATTTTAGGAAGAAATTCTTCCGTGGCACAGGGTGCCCAGAGAAGCTGTGGCTGCCCCATCCCTGGCAGTGTTCAAGGCCAGGTTGGACACAGGGGCTTGGAGCAAGTTGCTCCAGTGGAAGGGGTCCCTGGCCGTGGCAGGGGTTGGAGCTGGAGGAGCTTTAAGGTCCCTTCCAACCCAAACCAGGCTGTGTCTGATTTTCTCTGATTCAATGATTTCCATTTCTTAGCAAAGCCGCATCCCACAGCACCAGCAGCCGCCCCAGTGCAGAGGGTGCCGACTGGGGTGCAGTTGGGGGCACTGCTGGTGTCTCCCTCCCCATGAAGCCCCGTTGACACCGAGCCGGTCCGTAGCGGTGGTGATGGCGGTGCGGTGTCTCTTGCACTAACGATGCCCCTTTCTCTCCCCCCTCCCCTCCCTCCCCACTGTACATGGTATGTGTGTGTGTCCCCGCTGTGCCCCGCATGGCTCTGCACCCCCGCCACCCCCAGGCAGCCGTGCCCGCCCCGCCGCAGCCCGGCGAGTGGGTGCTGGCGGCACCGGGCGCTCGGCGCGGTCCCGCCCGGCTCCCCCCGCTCCGTCACCACCTCCGGCCGCTGCCCCGGCTCCAGCCGGTCCCTGCTTGATGGACGAGAGTTGGTTTGTCACCCCTCCCCCCTGTTTTACTGCAGAGGGGCCCGGCCCCGACGGCGTGGGGAGCAGCCCCATGGAGGACCTGCTCATCGAGCACCCCAGCATGTCTGTCTATGTCACCAGCACCCTCGAGGTGGACGGGGAGGGCCCTGAGGATGATGCTGCTGAGTGAGTATAGCTTGAGGGTGCTCACCTGGGGATGCTGGCACCAGGGACCGGGGTGGACGGTTCGTCCTGGCATCCCACATTGCTGTGTATGATCGGGGGTGCTCTGGCCACAGATGGAGTGGGGCTGTGGGGGTCCTCAGTGTCCTCACATCCCACCTTAGGGAGCACCCTCCATGCCTGTCAGGGTGCCTCTGTGCAACTATGGCAGCCCCTGTGTCCTGAAGTACCCAGCTAAGGGGGTCTCAATGCCGTGGTGAGGTGGCTGTGGGTGCTGGACCATGAGCTCATCACTGTGCTGCAGTGGAGAGGGGCTGCGTTCCCCTCCACTGCCCCAAGCAGGGTCTCCTGGGACGGCCGCCTGTGCTGATGCTTCCTTGGCCACGCTGCTGCCAGTGGTTGCGGGGTCCCACTGTGCCGTGGGGTCCCCACAGCCCCCCAGACCTCCAGCATCTCCCCCAGAATCCCCTCACTGGGGCAGAGGAGGAGGGATAATTCGGGCTGAACCTCCCTCAGGCCTGGGGACACCTTTCCTCCAGAGCTTCTCTCTTTGCACAGTCTCCCTGAGGGCCACAGCTTGATCCCAAGAGCTCCTGAGTAACCTCAATGAGGGAGGGTGCAGAAAGGGGGGTAGAAAAGGGCTGGGAGACCCAAAGGGGTTACAAACGGGATGGAAACGGGCACTTAGGAATTGTTGGGCTTAGAGGAATTGGCCAGTGTGAGGAGAGTGGGGATGGATGCCCCCATTCCTGCTGGTGTCTGGATTTATCCCGGCCATCCTGGCTGGGGCAGGAGGTGGTGTGGTCCTTCCTGGGGGGATGATGGGGAAAGGGTTGGAGCATCACTGCCGGGGTTCCATTGACCGCCCCTTTCCCCGCAGGGAGGTGCCGGAGCCGCGGCTGGAGCGGCACGTTCCGCACCACAGCCGGTCCCTCTCGGTGAAAGCTGCCATCCTGGAGAAGGTGGGTCAGGCGCGGCGGGTGCAGCGCGCCAAGCAGCTGGCCGACAAGCACCGGCTGAGCCAGAAGGCGCTGCAGCGGCAGAACCGCGCCTGCCAGCGCCCGCTGCGCCGCGCCAAGCAGCACATCGGCACCTTCGTCCACCAGCCCTGCCAGCGCCACTGCAACTACTGACCTCGCCGGGACGCCCGGCGCCGGCACCGTGGTGCAGCCGGGCTGCGGTTCCACTCCACGCCCTCCTCACACACATCCCTCTGCACACCCGGGCCTCCACTCAGCATCTTCCTCATCTTCATCCCCGCGCCCTTCACCCACAGCGCCGCAGCTCCAGCATGGAGGGCCGAGTTGCCCGCTCCACCTCGCAGCCGTGCCAGCCTTTACATGGGAATTGGGTATTCCTGGTGAGATCCCCCGCGTCGAAGCCTGTTTGTCCTGATGAGCCTGTGACATCAGTGCCTTTCTTCCGGACGCCATGACTCCACGTGTAGCCAGACTGGGATGTCACAAGCAGAGACCCCGTGAAAAGAGCAATGAAGCAACAAGATTTGGGATTTTTTAGGAAAATCTCACCCATGACACTAAATAATGCTTCCTGCCCCCTGAAACCAGCAAGTACCCCCCTCCCTCCTCCGTTTCTTACCTACGCTTTTACAGTGGTAAAACCCCACTGCTGGCCCTTGCCACGGGGAAGCGCTGGTGGAAGCCTTGGCAGGGTCATTGGGCAGCTCGTGGTGCCTCATGGTGTTTTTTAAAGACAACCTTAAAGCAATCTCAGGAACCAAAGCACCGTCCCAGCGCCTCGCCGGAGCCCTCGGCCACCGCGCTGTGGGGCCGGCATCCAGCCCAGGGCCAGTGGTAGCATCACCGTGGCTGGTGGTCCTGCCGAGCTGCTGGGTGCCTCGTCCTGGCGAGCCCCCTCCTCCTGGAGCCGCTCATCTGCCCGAATCACAGCTATAAACACACATTCAAGGGTAAGGATGTGTTTCCCTGTGTACCTTTGTCCTTGGAAGAGGAATAAGCCAAGGAGCATCGGCTGCTCAGTCCCTGGGAGGGGATCAAGGCAGGGACCTGCGCAGCTTCCCCAGGGTGGCAAAAGCACGTCGAAGCTGGTGGTGAAGGGATGATGAAGAGGAGGCCCAAGGGAAGAGGCTGAAGTAAGGGTGAATGTGGACCTGGGAGCAGCTGCTAAGAGACAGGCCCTGGCAGTGGGGCCGGGTGAGAGGATTGCTGCAGTGGAGCTGCAATGAGAACGTCTTCCCTCCTGACTAAAAAGTGGATCCTTTCCCATGGGAAGGGACAAATTCCACTGTGAGCAGCACTGGTTTATAATGGAAATCCCTCCCCTCCCCATGATGGATTCATTCTGCCCTTCAAATGACACGGTCCAGACTTTTCACTGGCTCCAGCACCAGCTGAGATGGCTCCAAACCCAGCAGAAATTTGTTGTTTCCCCCCCAACTCCTTCCCTTTAGGGACTGGTTTGTACCCATGCACTGGGGAAGCTCTGGCCATCCGTCCTGCTCACAGCCAGCTCACAGCCTGGCTTCCCACCCTCTGAGACAAGAAATACCCCTCATCCCCTTTCCCCTGCCCCCAGAATGCTGATGTCACACGAGTTTCTGCCATTCACCATGTTATAGCCCTCAGTATCAGCTTTGGACCGAGGCTGAAGGGATCGTGGTGAGCCCAGCCTCAGACAGCTGATATTTATTCATTTTTGAATGAGATTAAAACTAAAATGAACCCTTTCAGGAGCATCAGCCCCAGCTCTCTACCTGGGAGCCTGGGCTGCGGCCACAGTCACCGGCCCTCGCCGTTGAGCCTAAGACCACGCTGGAGATCGCCCTGTCTCCGGTGTCTTCCAATCCGACTGATGACTGCTTGACTCAATGGGAACGTTTACACCCTTTGGCTTCCTGGGCTTCACTTTAAAGGCCTTTCCCTGCCCTTGAATCGATGCCTGGTATGAAGTGGGAGCATGGATGCTGGCACAGGTGCTTGTGAAGACCAGCAGGGGCTGAGCCCAGGCTCTCAGGATGAGGCGCTGCCTTCCCTGCTGCTGCTTCCCGCATCACTGGTGACACGCTCTGTGGCCATCGGGGAACAGCGTTAGAGGAAGCATGGTTTCCTTAGCCCAAATGTACATCAGGGAGCGGACGAGCCAAGCGACGACCTGCCTGCCAGCCCGCTCTCCATCGCATCCGAGGTGCCACCGGTCCCTCTGGAGTGCTGTCACCCCCTCTGCAGCTCCAGGGCTGGGGGGCAGCAAGGCTGCATCCTGCCAGGCCTTGCCATGCCCATCAGTCTGCTCACAAATGGTACCCCTAGAGAAGAACCCCCTCACGGAAACCTTCTCCTGCATCCTGCTCATCCATTGTGAGCCGGAGCCCCTTGGCTGTGCTCCCAGGGGCTCAATGCTGTCGTGGCCCCAGCACCCAGCACCCCTTTCAAATGGCTGATGCTGTTATTCCGTCCTGGTTTCCAGAAGCAAATGCAAACTGGTTTCTTCCCCTTTCTCCTTCCCATGCCAACCTGAGACATCTTCCATCACGCTGTGCCCAGCCAGCCCAGGACATGCAGCAGAACTAGGATCACACTTTATATCAAGAGTATGTTCATAAAGGATTAATAAATTATTAATAACGTTTTAATGAAGAGGTTAAGCCAGAGTCCTGGAGGTCAATGGAGTGCAATTACCACAGCATAGATTGGCTCCTGAGACCCCCCCTGTTGTTGGCACACGTGGTTGTGTATTAACATTCAGTAATCACCTATCAGCCCCATGCCAAGGGACTGTCGACCCACCAGTGACCAACCCTTCCTGTGCTGTGGCAAAGGTGTGCTCATCCTGCACTCTGCAGATGCCCTGCAATGCTCCTCTCCTGCCCAACAGTGAGCACAAGACCTGGCCTGATACCAAATCTCCTGCTCAGTGTTACCAGACAAGAAAACCCCTTTACCCTGAGGTTGTGAGCTTCCTCAAATCTTAAAACAAACAAAAGGTGCTTGAAAACTGAGAACTTCTGTGTGTGCACACGTGTGCATGTGTGGATGCTTCACGACGCGGTGTGGGTGTTCAGAGGGCTGCTTTGGGGTGTGGGGTTTGGTGTTTTGGGGGTTTGTTGGGGTTTTTTTGCACCCAGTGTTTTCAGTTTGTGACTCGCTGTGTGATGCTCCCAATGGGAAGGCGAAGCAAACACGGTGCTGGCTGGCAGGGAAGCCCTTGGGCTGGTGTCCTGCTTGAACAGCTAGGATGAGTCTTGCTTTCTCTTCTTGACTTGCAGAGAGGGAAATTACAGCCTGGACTCAGGGGCAAACAAACGTGCTGGGGTCTATAATGATGTGGTCTTTATGGGTTTCTCTGTTTGGATGTGGGTTTGTTTCTGTCTGGGGGGCCTTTGGCTGTGTGGTCCTGAAGGATGCTGCAGGGATGCAGCCGAAGGCTTTGGCAGCGCTTGTTGGTGAGGGGCTGCTGCGTGCTGGGAGAGCCGCAGGGTTTGATGCTCTGGCATAGTGTCTGCATGGAAAAGGAGCTGTGTCCCCTTGTGTCCATCCCCGAGGAGCAGCCCATGCCCCAGATATTCACCTTAAAGCTGCTGGAATGCGCCTGGTCCTTCCTTGGGCTCGTTTGTGGACAGCCACGTATGGATTTTAAGCAGTGAGGCCCTGAGGATTTGGGAAGTGAAGCGAAGCCGTGCTTTCTGCATCAGCTGCAGCTGGTCTGGCTCCACAGTGTCCCTGGGATCCGGGATGTGGGGCACCATCTGAGCCATCACATGGGGGAATGCTGGTGCAGGTCACGGGCAGATCTGCGGGAGGAGATTTCTCCGTTTCTTGTAATGAAAGCATAGAGGAAAAGGAAGAATTCCCCGATGGGGAGACCTGGGTGAATCTGTCCTGGGCCTGGCAGCAGCTTCCCAGCCTTGTGCTGGCATCCCAGTGAGGAGCAGCATGGATGTGCAGGCCTGGGGACATTGGGACACTGCGGGCAGGCTGCGGCAGCACTGCCTGGAGCTTGTGAGGCAGCAGACCCCTATGATGGAAAGATCCTTTCCACCACTTGGAGACCCCGTGGTGTAGGGGATCTTCTCCAAGCAGAGCACAAGGGATTTGGATCTCAGTGGTCTTCATCTGGCAGCCTGCCTCCATCCCAGTCCAATGGATGAACCCCCTGAAGCGAGTGTTGAGGCTGCCCCAGCCATCAAGATAGGACCAGGAGGAGCAGCTCTCCTGGGGAAGTTCGACCTCTCGAGATGAGCACCAAGCACGTCAGGACACGTCCGAACATCCACACCCTGTGTGACCCAGCTCCCAGCATGGGGCGGATGGGGACACCTCATGGGCAGCCACAGCAAAGTCCTTCCACCAAACTCTGCCTCTGCAAGGCCAGGGGCAGCGGGGCAGAAGTTCCTGTCACCCCTGAAGCTTGCACTCACAAATGCGCTTTCCAAAAGGCTCTGCTTAAAGGCTCCATGGGAAGGAAGCAAAATGTTTTCCATGGAAGTCACCGTTCCTCCTCCATCGTGGATAACGGAAACACGTGGAGCATCCCAAAGCTCACCGCCGTGGGACTCTTCACTCTTCCTTTAGCATGTTTCTAATCAAGAGATGATTTAAATTTACATCTTGCTGGTACCTTTTCCTCTTCCATCCAGCCCCACTGGGGAGAAAAAAACCCCACTGGGGATAAACCCCCCATTAGTTGTCTTGTCGTACCAGTCAGAATGAAAACATAGATGAGAAAATACCCCAGTGAGGCTCTAGACTTGAACCGTGCACCTTCAAGTCTTCCCGTGGAGGATCAGCATCACTTCCAGTGCCCTGCGTAAAGCAGAAATTACATTTCAGGTGAATTTATTGAAAGCCAACAAGTCCTCAAAGATTAACCCATGTAATAACTGGGAACCGAGCTGCAAAAAGAATGGTTCTCAGCATCTGCCTGCTGCTGCCTGCCAGAGGCAGCGCCGAGCCCTGCTCCCCTGTGCTGGGAAGGGGTGATCCGTGAGTCTTCCCTGAGCGTCTGGGCTTAAAAGTTGATGCCACGGTGGCTCTGGCCACTGGGGGATGTCGATACCCACCACACCTGCAGCACCTCCATGCCAGGAGACCAGCCAGGAACGTTAAAGGGCATTGAATAGGCTTGGTCGCCTCAGGGCTTGTCTTCAAGGAGCTTCCATCTCCTCCCATTTCTCGGACATCTGCTCCATACGATGTTGGTGTCATGAATTATTTCCCAGCATCCTGAAGGGCTCGGTCCTCACCCCACCAAGATGAGCAGCTCCAGTTGATAACAGGGATGGCTCTTAGCTGTCGTCCTGTATAAAGTTCTTATTCAGAGGCGATGCAGAGGTGTGTGTCCCCCTTACACTCACTTGGAGCTAATACCTCCAGGGCTGGCTTGAGGGTTGCTTTTCCAGCCCCATACCCACAGCGAGTGCAAAGCTCTGTTGAAGGGATGCAAGCACATGCCCTGGTGCATGGAAACACTGTGTGAAGCTCTGGCTCTGTTACAGAGAACCCCGAAAATCCCTCTGCTTTCCCCCCTGCTCATGTTCCAGCACTTTTACGGGAGGGAGGTTTCATCCCTTGCAGCAGAGGGGGGAAA